CTTTGGAATCCGCGAACCAGTCTAAACTACGAGTTTCAGGTTATTTGGAATTTGAAGTAATTTATGAAAGTCGACGTAGAAGAATAAAAGTTTACATCTGTTGCGGAAATAAAGAACTTTTGATCGACAGAACGACTATGACTCAGCTGGGCATGATTCAACCAGAGTTTCCAAAGCCAATATTTATCGTCAAACATTTTGACTTAGATGATATTACTGAAAATCCTTCGACAGAAGTTTGTGAAGAAATAAAAAATAAACTTTTTAATACATACAAAGATGTATTCAACTCAGAAAATAACCTCCATCCTATGGATGGCAAGCCAATGCATATTTATTTAAAAGAAAATTTTATTCCTTATACAATTACATGCCCCAGAAGAATTCCATTTGCATGGATAGATAAAGTAAAATCTGAGTTAGATATTTTAGTTGACAAACAAATTATTAAACCCGTTGATGACATTCCTTTAGATTTTGTGAGTCCTTTGGTAATTGTGCAAAAGAAAAATGGTAAGATCAGAATCTGCGTAGACTTCACTAAGGTTAACTACTTTATAAAGCGACTGGTGCATCTCTTTAAGTACCCTTGGGCAGCACTGTCAAACATTATAGGAGGTGCCAACTATTTTATTACTTTCGACACTACAAGTGGATACTGGCAGATACCATTAGATGAAGAAAGTCAGAAGCTTACCACTTTTCTCGCCCCTTGGGGCCGATACATGTTTCTGAGAGCTCCAATGGGTTTAGTCAGCTCCGGAGATGAATTTTGTCGACGGGGAGACGAAGCATTATCTGACTTTAAAAATTTTGAAAAAGTCGTTGACGACATTTTAATATATGACGAAAGTTTTCGAGACCACTGTAAGAGAATAATTGAATTTCTTGAGAGATGTAGAGAAAAAATATTACTCTAAATCAAGATAAGTTTACTTTCACCCAAAAGAAAGTTAAATATGTAGGCTATATCGTAGGTCGAAATGGAATTGAGACGGACCCCAAAAAGGTAGACGCCATTCAACATTTTCCAAAACCTACTGCGTTCATTTATGGGAATTGTTAATCAGATGGTAAATTTTCTAATGACATTTCTAAAATGACAACACCTTACTTACTACTTTCAAAAATCTTTATTACTTTTTATGTACAATATTTACATTACAAATAATATATAAATACATTAAATTATCAATAGGGGTACTTCCGACTGTTTCCTTTGGAAGTGTTCCTGCCTATCTTCCTCCTAGAGGCACCGATGTTCTGGTCTGCATTTATGTATCATTTTTATTAGTTGGATTTTGTCTAAGCATCTCCCTATTGAGTACAATATAATATGCCTTTTATGTGGTCTAGCAAGAGCGATAATGGGAAATTGATGAGTTTTTGTTTGATTTTACTTGTGAGTGTCTTCCCTGAAAAACCTTAAAAAAACAGGGTGGTCCTTGTGTGTGTGTTCGTCTCATGTTAGTCTTTGTACGTGAGAAAGCCAAATCTACAGGCTACACAGTGAAATCCCTATTCAATATCGACATTGGAGCGCTAGCCGCAATTTCTGCATTCAATAGTGACGTCACCGTGCAGTCTTCCGTCCGACTAGAGATAGCTAGTCGGCTTCGAGATTTGGCTATTCAGTGTAATTCTCGCTGCTGTGGGTCAGTTAGTAGCAGCGCCCAGTCCACGTCCTATCGTCAGCTGAGGGCTGTGTTAGTCTTGTCTGTATATTGTGAGGGCTTTATGCAAACATCCATGTCTCCTGTTTGCACCATCTCCTTCGTGGATTGTTATTATATCCTCCTTAAGGTAGTTAGGTATACAATTTTTGTAGAAGTTGTTTGATAGTCTGAGGATGTGTGCTTTAACAGTTTCCATATATGTTTGCATGTGCATGTCGTTGATTCTGGCATAGCGATCATACCCCAGAGCTAACCTCAGATACCTGTTCTGCATTCTTTGCAATTTGATATAGTGACTTTCAGCCATTGAACAGAAGACAGGACCTCCGTATATAAGGATAGGGCGCATTACTTGCTTATACAAGAGAAGCTTGTTGTTAATGGTGACTCCGCTTCTTCTGTGCAGAAGCGGGTAAAGTATTTTAATGGCAGCCTTGGTTTTAGCAACCCTATCGGTTATATGTTGTCTGAATGTTAGTCTCCTATCCAATATTATTCCTAAGTATTTTAATGTGTCTTTGACCTCGATCGTTTGACCTTGAACTTTTAGTTTATTAATTATATTTTCAGTTTTTCTTTGAGATAGAGTCATGCTCTCGGTCTTATTGGGATTTATTTTGATTTTGTTTTAATTGAAATAGGGGACTAACACTCTGTTGACGTGGATGTCCAGTCTTCTGTTCGCAATTTCTGCAGACTGGGATGACTTGTAGACACAGGTGTCGGCGTTCAGCGCCGTCTGTATACCATTTTGTCCCATTGGCATGTCATGTGTCATGATGGTATACAGGTGGAGCGCCAGTACTGAACCTTGAGGTACTCCCGCCATAGCCGTGTATGGTCCTGTTCTGGTATTATTTATTTTAATAAAAAATTGTCTGTTATGTAGGTATGTTTGTATTGTTTTTACAATGTACACAGGGTAATCATTCATAAACATTTTGTGGATTAATCCGTCAGTCCAGACAGTGTCAAAGGCCTTTGCAGCATCCAGTGCCACTAGGACAGTTTGCTGATTTAGGTTGAACCCCTTTTTAGCTTGATGAGCTATACGTATAACTTGGGCAACTGTGCTGTGGCCGGCCCTAAACCCATACTGTTCTGACGGAATAATTTTATTGTCTTGTTCGTAGGTATGAATTCGTTTTAGTATGACTTTGTCCGTTACTTTCGCTAGTCCATTTAGGAGAGAAATGGGGCGGTAGCTTTCAAGTAGGTTTTTACTTTTCTGAGGTTTTAGTATCGGAATAATATTCGCAACTTTCAGGGCTGCAGGATAGTATTGAAGTTTAAGCACTGCGTTTATTAAATTGTGTAATTGTACAATTGCCTTTTTTGTTATATTTTTAAGTAGTTTATTATGAATGTCATCGGGTCCTGGAGCCCTCTTACTGGGAGATCTTTTAATTATTTCGCGTACTTCTGAGGGGTTTGTTAGAGCGTTTGGAGGAATGATTTGAATTGACATTTCGCTTATGTCTCTAGTGATATTTTGAATTTTGTTTTGCTCCTGGTCATTTTGCTGTGTATTTATGAAATTGCCCTGGAAAAATTCGCCGAACGCATTTCCTTTCTGGTCGTCCGTTACGTAATTGTTGTTATTATGTCTCAGTGTGGGAAGTTGCGAGAAAGGTTTTCTAAACCTCCTCACCATTTTCCACACTGAATTGTCGTGTATATTGATAGCTTCTAGGGTCTTTTTCCACGTTCTATTACGAAAATCATTAATTTCAGCGTTGATGTGCTTACCAATTTGTATCATATTGACCCTATCCGCATCAAGTCTGTGGGCTTGCCATCGCCGTCTAGTATAGTTTTTGTGCGTTATTAAATCTAATATCTCTTGAGGAAGATTATCTATGTGTGGTTTGCGCGTTACTTTGCTAGTAGATGGATTTCTTGCTTTAATTATGGCATTCGTAAGCTTAGTATATTCTTCCTCAAGAGTATTATTGTTTGTTATGTTATTGTTAATTTGTATGTTTTTGTCGAGGATTTGTCGGTATTTTGTCCAGTTTGTTGTGTTGTAGTCATAGAACTGACCCTGTATTCTGGGGATCAAGCGTGCTGTCTCAATCTCCAGATATACAGGGTCATGATCTGACGTCAGTTCTTTGAAGGTCCTTGTGTTGTCTATGTTTGGAATGTTCTTAGCAACGGCTATATCTAGGGTACTTGGCCTGTGAGTATTTTGGAAAGGAAAATGCGTGGGGTCTTCGGGATAGTGTATGATAAGGTCATTGTCATCGGCGAATTCGTCCAGGTTTTTACCACTTCTATTGTGAATTGTACAATTGACATCCCAATGTGGATGTTTACAGTTTAGATCTCCGAGCAAGAGGACTCTATTACCCGATGACATTATGGTAAATATATTATTTGGGTGATTATACACTCCTACAAATATGTATTCATGAATTTTAATAATGATGTGCTCTTGTGTTTTGTTCACATTGTTTATTTGTATGAAGGGAATCTTGTTACTGATAATGAAAGCTGCACCGCCCCTGTCTGCCCTTGTCTGTCTTGTCTTATGACATTGTACTCTTGTATTTTGAGCGAGTCTGTGTCTTTGTAGTGTGTTTCGGTAATGAATACAATGTCAAATTTGGAGTTTTTGTGAGTTTTGTGAATGAAGTTCAGTTCCTAAGTGTGTATTGATTGTCAACGTCGCTCATAAACGCGTTGTAGGTCTCGATAATTTGTTGTCCGTTTATGCATTGCTTTAGTGCAGCGTTAAGCGCTCTGATCGCCCTTGTTAGCTCACCTATGTTTATCATCCTGTTTAGCTCTGCTAATTCCTTGTTAAGGGCTGTGAACTCATTCATAGCAGTATTTGGGTGTGGTGTTCTTGATGTAGTTATTGTTGATTCAGCTTTGGTGGCCTCTACTGAATTTATTCTGACATTTCTCTGTCCCAATGATAGGAATTCTTCGTTTCTTCTTGCATTATTATTGCTGTTGTTTTTTCTAGCCTCCCAGTGGTTAACAGCAGGTAAAGGTGCAGGTACTAACTTTCGCTGTTGCGTTGGTCGCCTTTCTTCCATCCTAGAAAGTCTTTCTAGGTAGGCTTTACATTTTGAGTAGTTGGCGGGGTGATCACCCCCGCAGTTGACACACGTTGCTGGTGTGTCCCTGGTTTTGACATACGTGCGTGTGTGGTGATCCCCCGCACACTTTACGCATCTGGCTGACTTGCCACAATTTGCTGTTGCATGTCCCCACTCCTGGCATGTGTGACATTGGATGATCTGTTTGACAGATTTTCTGATCTCCCAGGTCACTCTGGTGTGTAAGACTCTTCTGATATTCTTGTTCAGGTACCCCAGAGTGATGACTGGGTCTGTGACCACCAGGAAGAGGGGACTTTCTTTGGTTTTCATTGCGTAGATTTCTCGCGCAGTTATTTCGTGTTCTTCTTCAAGATCTTCCTTAATATCTTGTATTTTAGTGTTTTCTGCCAGGCCTCTAAGCACAAATGCGTGTGATTTGTCGCTACTGGCAGTGTAAGTGTGGTAAGCCATTTTCTCACTCTTGACGTTGTTGAGTACCTTTTCGTAATCCTCCTTGCCATCTACAAAGAGAACTGTTGTTCTGTTTGTGTGCTTGACACTGAATTCTCCTTGTACTATGGCCTTTAGATCGGCAATTAGTTGGTTTGGGTTGGCTGTCTTGCCGTCTATTACTATTGGCGGCATTGTGGATTTTTGTTTGGTTACCCTTACATTTTTGTTGCTGTTATTGTTTGTTGCGTTGTTTGTGTTCGCTGCACTGGTGGTTGGTTTTTGAGGAGGTACTTTGGGTGTCTCTTTTATGGTGAAGGACACATACTTTGCGCCTTTCTTCCTCTTCTTTACGATTTTTCCTATCTCGTCGTCATTATCTGTGTCAGACTCGTCAGTTAAGACTTGATAGGAGTTTTGGGTGGTTGTTAGCGTTTGCACTGCTTTTTCTCTAATCATTTAATGAAAATTAGAACTGAATTTTCGCGGTACTATGAACTGTTCATCTTTTTTCTTCAGTTCTTCTTCTGCCTTTTTTCTATCTCTTTCTCTCTCGTTTATTACTCTTTCTTCTTCTGTTCGAAATTCAAAAAAGCTATTGGGTGAGTCCGGTAGTCTGTCAGCCTTGTCAAATTTATCTCTTACACTTGGATTTTCGTCTTCTGAAGTGAGACTGTTGTATTGCAGTATGTTGTTTGTGACACTACTAGGTACCTCTTTTCTCTTGAGCCTAGGATCTGCATTTGCCCTGTTTTTAGGGATGGCTCCTAGGGATTTAGGGGTATCGTTTTCTGTTGCAATTCTAGCGGAGCTTGGTAGGTGTTGTTGTACTGTCTGTTCGGGGCAATACCCAGCCGAGGAACTACTCGATCCATCCCTCTTTTGGGTACCTCCTACACTTCCAGTATCTGTTGTGTTGTTGCCTCCGAAATCTAGGGGTTTTGCTGTTGCGTTAGCAGGAATTGCAAGCGTTTTGAACGGTCCTTTTGGCATTTGTTCTCTTTGATATTCAGAGTAGAAGTTTGCAGTACTCTGGTCTAATTCTCCGGATTCTTTTACTGTTTTAGGAACTACTGTGGAATTCATGTCTACATCGTCTTCTGATGACGAGCTAGCTGATTTTTCCAATACGTTAATAAGAGTTTCTACTGTATTATACTCATTTTTATTTGTCTCCTGGGAATCAGGAGTGCTGGGATTAGTATTATTACTTTCGTGAGTGGAGTGATACTCCATATCCTCCGATCCATCCACTGATGGCTTTCGTGGGGTGTTTTCACTGGTTTCTATAGTGCTTTGATTTATTTCAAGTTTTTGGAGGTCATTTTAAGGTGAAACCGATGAAAATTTGGCCAGGGGGTCCCCTTGGGTCGTGCAGCTGACCCCGGAGTTATTGGTTAGTGTCTCACTCTCTGTACTCACGCTTGTTTTTCTTTTTGGTTTAGGACTGGGTTTAGGGCTTGATGGTAGACTGTCTGGGTGAAGTTTATTCCTATGTTTGTCAAGGTATCTGTACCGGCTTTTGAGCCTCTTCGAGTACTCCGTTTCGAAGCCCTTGGGCGTTGTGGGGGCCCGACTGGGCTCGGACATGTGCCGAGAACCCTCTAGGTTACGCACTTACACTGGCGTTTGGGTGAAAAATTATTAGGGAAAAGTTAAAAGGATTAGTTTTTAATGACAAGTGACAACTGACGTTAGCTACTTCGAGAAATTAACGCTCTCACGGCAAACGACTCCTAGGAAAGTCCTAGGTAAACTGACAACACCTGTTAAAATCAAAAAAACATTTTTTATGGTGTTACGCACACGATCAAGCGTTTATGAATATTCGCGAGGCTTTAGCAAAACCACCAATACTTGCAAATTTTGACCCCTTATTGCCAACAGCGTTGCATGTCGATGCGTCTCGTTCAAACGGTCTAGGATATGCACTTCTACAACAACATAATGATGGAATTTGGAAGTTAATACAGTGTGGTTCCAGATTCCTGTCAGATACAGAAACAAGATATACCATGATTGAAATAGAGCTTCTATCCATAGCATGGGCTGTTAAAAAGTGCAGACTATATTTGCTGGGGCTGAATGCGCTCAAAATAATTACAGATCATAAGCCTTTGTTACCAATTTTAAATTCTTATACACTGGATATGATTGCAGCGTCTTAAAGAAAAACTATCTGGGTATAATTTTGAAGCTGAGTGGACAAAAGGACAAGATCATTGTATACCTGATGCACTTTCGAGGGCACCGACAGACGTTCCATGTGATGAAGATCTAATCGGTGAAGAAGCCAACACCCATCTGAAATCATTTATCGTTCAGCAAATCGCATTGATTGACAATACTGACGAATTAGTAAAGAATTCACACCTACATGATCCATTGTTATACAAACTAAAAACAATGGCAGAGAATGACCAGATATATCAAAGTTTAGTAGATATAGTTAAAAAGGGATTTCCAGAGATGAAAAAGTAAGTTCACCCTTCAATGACACCGTACTGAGACGTGAGACACAAACTAAGTTACGACGATGGGTTAGTCTTGAAAGACTATCAGATTGTTATTCCTATTTCTGCAAGAAAAATGGTTCTAGACAGATTACACGATTCACACCAAGGTATAGAACGCACAAAACGACGTGCTCGTCAAACAGTTTTTTGGCCGAATATGAACAACGATATTAAAAACATTATAGAAACGTGTGAACCATGCCAATTAGTCAGACCATCGTTACAAAAAGAAACCTTTATGTGCGACCCCCACCAACTCTACCCTTCCAAGATGTCTCAGCCGATCTTTTCTCATGTTAGGGGAAAAAAAGTATATGGTCTCTGTTGATAGATTAAGCGGTTGGCCTATTGTGTGCCATTACGGGACAAGAGATCCCACCAGCTTAGGTATTATCGAAGACTTAAAGAAAATATTCGCAGATACCGGGGGTCCCTCTGCGCTTCCGCTCCGACAATGGTCCACAATTTAAGTCCTCGGAGTTTGGCACATTTTTAAAAACGTGGAATATAACACAGTGTACTTCTAGTCCAATATATCCGCAGAGCAACGGCCATGCAAAAGCTGGCGTAAAGTCTATGAAGCATTTGATTTTAAAATGTATGACTAATGGCCAGTTAGATGAACATAAATTTTGTTCAGGTCTACTAGAATGGCGCAACACGCCGAAATCAAATGGCATGTCACCGGCTGAGGTTTTATTTGGACACCCAATAAGATCACTGGTACCAACTCACTACAGGGCATTTTCAAGAGAATGGCAAAAAAGCTGCTGCAAGTATAGACAAAAGACTGGCTAAAAATGAAAAAGTAATTTCATATTACAACAAACACGCTAAAGATTTAAATCCCATCACAGTAGGAACAAAAGTAAAAATACAGGATAAAACAACAAGACTATGAAACAGGATTGGAGATGTAGTAGAAGTTGGAAAAAAACAGAAAATATACAATAAAAACTCCATGTGGAAGAGTCCTAGTTAGGAACAGAAGATAAATAAAAAAGTGTTTTGTGACAGAACACTAAAGGGGGAGGTGTGGGAATAACATATACTTATACACTAACTTATAGACTGATGGTACTTGTTTGTCGTTTAGTGGATAGGTATTGTCAAAATCTGTGAAGGCTAATAAAGATACTTATACATTGAATCGTATCAGAAAGGTTGAAGAGTCAGAAATGGCCCAAATCGAGTTCCTGAGAGCTTTCGAGGTCGCTGATCATGATTATGATGTTTAAGTTGAACTACAGCCGACCTGTAAGGCCGACCGGGTAAGAAGATAAACTCGGCTCTGGGTGGGTTTTTGGGTTGCTGCATTCAAATATAACATCGCTGAACACCCCCTGGACAGCTGGTGCGCTGGAACCGGCACGTGGACGTCATCTCCGAGAAGTTTCTTATATAAATAAATTTTATTTGTTGTGAAGTGATTGCGTTCAGTTTCATTTTGTTGTAAATGAAAAGTATAAAAGAAAAGAGTAATAAAAACCATAGTGTTTTCTCTTCATTAAGTAATAGGATAGATAGTATGATACCTATACACATTTTATAGGATAGTAGACATACTGGGTGTCCCAAAAGAAACTAATACAATTCATAAATCATCTAAAATAAAATTTTGGCAAAAATGCAAAACCAAATTGATTTATTTTTAGAACACAATGGAAGAGTTGCGACGTTGTTTTGTTAAATTTTGTTTAAAACTGCTCGAGAAAAATTATAATTATTATTAATTAGGTAGGCACTGAATTGGTATTTAAAAGATTAGCTTTTCTATTATACCTCAAATATCGGGAGTCACATTTAAAATAGTAGTTTGTAATAACATGAGTCGATGTGATGGTTATATCGCACAAACACAACGTTTGAATACAACGCCTTGCCATATGGATAATTCACTCTAGTTGTACAATATATTTTGTCTATGACCCACTAACAAAGATCTAAAAAAAAAATTTTAAAATTGAATTTAACCCTCTAATTGAAAAAATTAAATCTTGCATAGGAAAATTTTTTTAAATAAAAATTAGAATTTAACTGAATCACTAGAGTACGAATAAGCCCGTTAATTTTGTGAAAAATACTGTTTTTGCAAAACTGCGAATGTATCTTCAGGGATACACCGCTCGGTACCTATAATTTCGCAAATACTAAACAACGTATCTGAATTCATTAACACTCCCTTTAATATGTTGATATGACATGTCGGTTTTGGTCCATTTAGAGTTTTCTCAGATCCCCTCCTACCTAAGAGATGTGCTTTCTTATTTTCCAACACACCCTCATATTTCGACACCTATCTAACATGTTGATGAGATACCACAAGTAGGTTCCAGTCCATTTAGTGTTTTCCTATCTCCTTGTTTGGCGAAGTCCTCTTTCTCGTTTACAACACACCCTTATGTGCCCATTCAAGAGTGTTCTGTTAGACCTAGAAGGGACTGATACTAGTTCAATATTACTTCAGATTGCATTTCCACACTTTGCTTAGCTTTAGGAGATGCCTCGTCTTCTGTCATAATAAAGCATGTGCTGGAAGACTGTTACCCGAGAACTCAGATTTAGACTAATTGTCTTGCCCGAAGTCGCATAGTAAATTCCAGCTCCTGGTATGTTTTGTATCTTCCAACCGAGTGTGTATTGCATAGGTAAGTTTTATATTTTCTTATTTATCAGGCG